CTCTTGGGGGGGGGGGGGGGAGGAGAGAGAGTACCTTTGATCTTCCCCTTGTGCTGCTCTGAAAGATGTTCTGTTCGCGTCCGGGTGATAAGCTCTACGTTGGAAGCCCCGTAAACCTGTAGAGGGACAGGAAACACCACAGGTTGCTACAGTAGCCCCCCACCTCCCAAAACTCGTTCCCTGTGCCCAGGACACGTCACATCAGCTTCAAGCTTCCAGTCTTCGGCATTAAAGCTCTCCCCTTCTCAGCCTCTCGCTCCCTCTACATCCAGTTTGGTGTAGTGGTTAGGAGCGCGGACTCTAATCCGGGAGAACCAGGTTTGATTCTCCACTCCTCCACATGCAGCTGCTGGTATGACCTTGGGTCAGTCACAAGTTCTCTCAGAGCTGTTTTCCCAAGGGCAGTCCTCGAGAGAGCTCTCTCAGCCCCACCTACCTCAGAGCGTGTCTGTTGTGGGGAGGGGAAGGGAAAGGAGATTATCAGCCACGCTGAGACTCCTTCAGGTAGTGAAGGGCGGGGTATAAATCCAATCTCTTCTTCTTCTTCTTCTTCCCTTTTTCACTCTCTCCCATTCCCTGCCTGATCTCACACTGTTTCTTAGCAGGTGTGCCCCCCCCCCGGCCTCTCACCTTGGCCTCGTACCCGTTCACCACCTCCGTCTTCTCGCTTCTCCAGCCCAAGATACCCGTCTTGTTCCTGGCAAGAAAAAGCACGAGATAAGCAACAGTCCTCTGGGCTGTTGGATGAAGAAATGGGGGAGGAAACCCCACCACTTGAGCCCGCTTTGGGGAGGGCGGGTTATAAATCTAAAAATAAAAATAAATAAAATAAATAAAGGTGAAATGGATGGGGATGCTGGCGGGGGTCCCAAGACTAGAGATGTGAAGGCCCGGGGAAAAACCGGGAAAAAAACGGTTTTCCCTGAAGCCTTTTTGTTTTTTTCTGAAAAATTGGAAAAATTGAGAAAAGAAAAGAAAAAAAATTGATTATGGAACGTTTTATTTTAACATGATGAATAAAATATTTTAAGATAAGGTATTCAAATATTTTCCAAATCATTTCTAAGATATATATATGGTATCAGATTGATCTAATTTCTGTGCACTGCGGACAAGCAAGTCCTAGGTTACAAACTGAACTCTCCAAGAACAAGATGCATTTCTTCCTTTAGGAGGTGCTATTGTCATGAGAAAAGAAAAAGGTTTCAGTTTTGTTTTTGTATGTGGGCGGGTATTCTGTTTGTACTAACTGTTTGGATACACGGTATTTTTAATAGGCTAGTTGTGATAATTTCATGCCAAGTAAAAATGTCCATAGTCATATTTTATGTTCCTAAAGTAACTGAATGACTTTCAATCTAGAAAAGACAAAACAAGTGCTAATGTAGTATTTTTTTCAAATGTTCCGAAAATTTCCGTTTTTTTCTGGAAAAAATTGGGGAAAAAACCGTTTTTTTTCCCGAGCTTCAAAATTTCCAGAAATTTTACATCTCTAGCCATTTCACACAGTAACATCCAGTTGCAAAGCACATTGAAAGTGGATTGAAAGGCCATTATTTGATGCACGTGAAAGCCCTCTTTGAGATCTCACACAGAACGATAATAGCCCTCACTGACTGAACACCAACGGAACAATCCCAACTGATTTCATAACTGACTTTCATAACTAACTAACTGACACACAGACTCCTCCCACACGGTCATCCATCAATTGCAGCACATTTGTCTCTCTCAATCACTCTAGTCTGCTTATCACCACACTTCAACCAAACATTTAAAGGCACACACACACACACACTCATAAAACAAGGAATCATTACAGGAGCGTTCTCTGCTTCCCTGGGGCCGGTCTGCTTGCGGCATGAACCTCGCCACACCTCCCTGTTCTCCACTTGCTAACGAATCCGCTCTCGTCTCTGCAGGTGGAGCCAGCAAAGCCTTCAGCCTGAAGGCCGGTGTCTTGGGCAACGCCTCCAATCCCAGAATTCCACAGGCCTCCCTGCCCGACTCCATGCTTCCCTCTCCCGGGATGGCTGGAGACACCTGCGTGTTCGACTATCAGCACGTGAGTACTGCCGAACCCTTTGGGGCTTGGGGCTTTTGTAAAAAGGATGGCTGTATGTACTAGGGTCACCGCCCTCCAGGTAGGGGACAAACGCACGGGCAACACGGCAAGGTTGAGTAAACATGGGAAATCACCGTGTTCAAACAAAACACACAGTTCTTTTTTCTTCTTCTTCTTCTAATCCCCCTTCCAAAAAAAAACCTACAAGAAAATAAGGAAAGGGAAACTATAAACTTCAGGAAAAAGTAAAGATAACCACTAAAAACCCAAGAGGTGATGGTTACATAATGATTATACTAAAATTGTTTTTAAGTAAAAAAAAAAAAAGTAATTTGTTACATTGAAGGTGATTGTTAAAGTCGCTTAAATAATTCAAGTCCAGGTATTCTGACTTAGTAAAGAGCAATATAAAAGAACGATTAAATATTGAGCAAAATCCAAACGTCAGAGGAAATTGGCATCTCATCGGCCTCTTCTTTCCCTCAATCGATATCCTTGCTTGGGGGCAGCCGCCCCACGTTCCGAATCCGAGTCTTCTCCAGTAAGTGTTTCATCATCGCTCCCCTTGTTGCTCTTCTCGTCCTCTTCCCCTCTTGGACCCAGTTGTTACTGCAAAAACTTACGTGCTTTTGTAGCAGAGTCAATTTCTCCCCTCTTATCTTTAAATGTGAAGAGTATGCCTTCAGGTACAGTCCATTTGTAGGAGATGTTATTCTTTTGTAGAAACAGGGCCCTTATTTCAAAGGGAATGTCTTTCAAGACTCTCATCTCCTTGCCATCAATTTTAAGGGTAGTTCCATTTGTTGCTTTTAATATCTGATCCCTCACATGTCTTCTGGAGAATCTAACCACCACCTCACCAGGCAGATTATTTTCCTTTATGTATTCTGAATATGACCTATAGATCACACAGTTCTGGTATGCTACTATAACTTTGTTATTCGATTAAACCATATACTTATAATGTACAGTAAAGACCCTAGTGCAGGGGTGGCCAAACTTGCTTAACGCAAGAGCCACGTAGAATAAACGTCAGATGTCTGAGAGCCCCAAGACATGAACGCACACGTTTTTATTGAAAAAGATGCACATTTTCACATTAAGTTAAAGAGACAAATGCCTTCTCCGAGCCAAGCCAGTCTGCCGGTGTGGTGGGGCTCGAAGAGCACATTCATCTTTAGATGGGGAGGGAGGGGAGGAAGATGGAAGGAAAGGTGGAAAGAAAGAAAGTGGAAAGAAAGCAAATAGATGGAGGTGGGGAGGAGGGAGGGAGAGGTGGAAAGAAAACAACTTTAACTTTAAATGCGTCCTTCAAGCCCCCCCACGCCGGCTGGCTTGGCTAGGAGAAAGGATTTAAAGAGGCAGATGCCTTTTCCAAGCCAGTCGGCAGGGGGGCGGGTTGTGTGTGCTTTGATAATGCCTTTAAAGTTGCTTTCTTTCTCTGCTCCCCCCACCCCTCCAAGCCTACCCAGGGAGGGGACCACTGGCTGGGGAAGAGAAGACCGATTGGGGAGGTCAAGGTCTTCCCCATCACCTATTGCTGGTCCTTTTAACTGGAGAGGCCGGGGATTGAATGTGGGACCTCCTGCATGCCAAGCAGAGGCTCTGCCACTGAGCCAGGGTCTCAGGTCAAGGTCTTCCCCATCACCTCCTGCCTGGTCCTTTTAACTGGAGAGGCCGGGGATTGAATGTGGGACCTCCTGCATGCCAAGCAGAGGCTCTGCCACTGAGCCAGGGTCTCAGGTCAAGGTCTTCCCCATCACCTCCTGCCTGGTCCTTTTAACTGGAGAGGCCGGGGATTGAATGTGGGACCTCCTGCATGCCAAGCAGAGGCTCTGCCACTGAGCCAGGGTCTCAGGTCAAGGTCTTCCCCATCACCTCCTGCCTGGTCCTTTTAACTGGAGAGGCCGGGGATTGAATGTGGGACCTCCTGCATGCCAAGCAGAGGCTCTGCCACTGAGCCAGGGTCTCAGGTCAAGGTCTTCCCCATCACCTCCTGCCTGGTCCTTTTAACTGGAGAGGCCGGGGATTGAATGTGGGACCTCCTGCATGCCAAGCAGAGGCCCTGCCACTGAGCCACGGCCCCTCCCTGAAGTCTCATTCCTAGATGTCTGGGGATAGGGTCCGTGGGATAAGGACATGTCGGCTCCTGGAAGATGCTTCCTGAGATGGTCCCCCCTGGGAAGACAGCAGGTTCATCAGGAGCTGCTCTGTCCCACGCCTTGTTCACTCCGCCTTTCCCCTAAGGGCCTTCTCACGGCCACCGCCCTCTTAGCTCCCCCTCCCAGGGCGCACCAGACACGAGGGAGGGCTCCTTTTCAGCATCTGTGTCTGGAGGTCCGTGTAAGCAGCCGGTGTGGATTCCGCTTTTCTTTCAGATGTCGCCGTCGGCCAGCTTTGAGCGGAACAGCCTGGGGGCTCCCCTGCCTCCTTTCTATTCCGGATCCCCGACTTCCTACTTCACCAGCGGCCTTCAAGCAGGGCTCCGGCAGAGCCATCTGAACAAAGTAAGGGGACGGGCCGTTCCGCCAAGGTCCGGGGGTTCCTGGTCTGGCCTGGGAGGGGCCCCAGCAGGGTGGGGTGGGGACACACACACACATAAAGACACCAGAGAAGCCAGAAATACCAGGAGCCATCAGGAGGTCCACCAAGTGGGGCCAGAACTCTAGAAGCTCCTCCCCCACTGTTGCCCCCCCCCAAGCACCAAGAAGACAGAGCATCCCTTGCCCCAGACCGAGAGATCCTCTCTATCCCTTGTGGCTGATAGCCACTGATGGACCTCTGCTCCATATAAGAACACAAGAGAAGCCAGTGTTGGATCGGGCCAATGGCCCATCCAGTCCAACACTCTGTGTCACACAGTGGGAGGTCCACCAGCTGGGCCAGAACTCCAGGAGTCCTCCCACCGTGGCCCTATGAGACCAAGAAGACAGAGCATCACTGCTCCAGACACAAGAACATCAGAGAAGCCATGTTGGATCAGGCCAATGGCCCATCCAGTCCGACACTCTGTGCCACACAGTGGCCAAAAATACCAGGTGCCACCAGGAGGTCCAGCAGTGGGGCCAGAACTCCAGAAGCCCTCCCACTGTGGCCCCCCTAAGTACCAAGAAGACAGAGCGCCACTGCCCCAAACATAATAACATAAAGTGAAGCCATGTTGGATCAGGCCGATGGCCCATCCAGTCCAACACGCTGTGTCACACAGGGGCCCAAACCCAGGGGCCATCGGGAGGTCCCCCAGCGAGGTTAGAACTCCAGAAGCCCTCCCACTCTTGCCCCCCAAGCACCAAGAATGCAGAGCATCACTGGTCCAGACAGAATGTTCCATCTATACCTTGTGGCTCATAGCCACTGATGGACCTCTGCTCCATCTGTTTATTCAATTCCCCCCTTGACCCTTCTGGGCCACGGTGCATCTAGATCAAGGGCTTCCTTTCTTCATCAGGCTCGGTTGGTTCTCTGGGACCGTAACCACCCTCCCCACGTTTTGGTTGAGTTTATAGCCACTGACTTTGGCCGGGCGAGCTGAACCCACGAAACTGCCATATGCTGGAGCAGAGCCTTGATTGAGCAAAGCCTGTATTGTCGACTCTACTCAGACTGGCAGCGGCTTTCCAGGGCCTCAGTCGGAGCTCTTTTACGTCACCTCCTGCCCGATCGTTTTTACTGGAGATGCCAAGGAGTGAACCTGAGAGCCAGTTTGGTGTGGTGGCTAGGAGCGTGGACTCTAGTCTGGGAGAACCGGGTTTGATTCCCCCCTCCTCCTCCACCTGCAGCTGCTGGTGTGACCTCCTTGGGTCAGTCACAAGTTCTCTCAGAGCTGTCCCCTCAGGAGCCGTTCTCTCAGAGCTCTCTCAGCCCCACCGACCTTACAAGGTGTCTGTTGTGGGGAGGGGAAGGGAAAGGAGTTTGTAAGCCGCTCTGAGACTCCTTCAGGTAGTGAAGGGCGGGGTATAAGTCCAATCGCTTCTTCTTCTTCAATTCCCCACTCCTCCACGTGCAGCTGCTGGTGTGACCTTGGGTCCCAAGTTGTCTCAGAGCTGTTCTCTCAAGGGCAGTTCTCAAGAAAGCTCTCTCAGCCCAATCTGCCTCCCAGGGTGTCTGTTGTGGGGAGGGGAAGGGAAGGGAAAGGAGATTGTCAGCCGCTCTGAGACTCCTTTGGGTAGTGAAGGGCCATGGGGTATAGATCCAGTCTCTTCTGCATGCGAAGCAGAGGCTTTTCCATTGAGCCCCTCTCTGTGGCTCTCCAGGGTCTCAGGCAGAGGTCTTTCCCATCACTCGGCTTCCTGGTCCTTTTGCCTGGAGATGCCGGGGATCGAACCCGGGACCTTCTGCGTGCCGAGCGGATGCTCTGCCACAGAGCCAGGGTCCCACCCAGCCTCGCTACTTCCTTCTCCCCCGATATCCCCCACTACAATCTCCTCCATGCACAAAAGCCCGGCTTGATGCCTGAGCCAGGGTCTCAGGTCAAGGTCTTTCTCATCACCTCCTGCCTGGTCCTTTTAACTGGAGATGCCGGGAATTGAACCCGGGACCTTCTGCGTGCCGAGCGGATGCTCTGCCACAGAGCCAGGGTCCCACCCAGCCTCGCTACTTCCTTCTCCCCCGATATCCCCCACTACAATCTCCTCCATGCACAAAAGCCCGGCTTGATGCCTGGGAGGGACCTCCCTGAAGGAGGTTGTTCATCATTGTGGGGCCGCCCCCGAGGAGGCCGTCTCTCGTGTTCCCACCAGGCGAGCATTTTTGGATGCCTCTCCCTGTGATCTTCATTCCGGGAACGCGTGGGAGGAGACGGCCCCTCGGAGTAGGCAGCCCTGAGCTCTGATGACCTTAGGCGTTGCCGTCGATCTGCCTAGCGGTTTGCACGTCTGGGAAGCCGTGGTGCCGACCGTGACGCTGACCGTGCCTTTGCCTCCTCTTCCAGGCCGTCGGCATGCCCCCGGTGGGCACGGGAGACAGTCTGACGGGACTCGGGCCAGGCGGTCACTCGCACAGCACCCACCCAAAGGTGAGACGCCGAGCCGGGGTCCCCCTCCTTTTCGAGCCGGTGGGCACCTCTGAAATCTCCATTTTAATCGGTGGTTTCTTCCCGGCCCATGCAAATTTTGAAATTTCCTTCCGCCATAGATTAAACACCTTCACATCTTTCACTATGGGGATTGTCTGAAATAAAAACATCAATCCTGGTAAAATATTCATTTTTACCACTGATATTCTCCCCAACAGTGATAAATTCAATACATTCCATTTTTTAATGTCCTGCTGTATCTTGGGCCACAGTTTATCATTATTGTTTTTATAAGGCACCTTTGAAATCTTAACTGTGTGCGGGCACATCCACAGCCATAAATTCCAGCCAGCCATAAAATCACACCTCGAAGGAGGAGGTCCTAGCCAGTGTTCCCTCTGAGCTGAGTCAGTGTGAGCTAGCTCAACGGTTTTTTAGCCTCCGGCTCACACATTTTTGCCTTAGCACAGGAAGGGAGGGCTCCCTCCAGAAGAGCAAACCGATTGATGCAGGAGCCAAATCGCTCGCTCACAACTTTAATGCCCGTAGCTCACAAAGGAGAATTTTTGCTCACCAGACTCCACAGCTTAGAGGGAGCGTTGGTCGTAGCCCTTCTGTAGACCGCCTTGGTCCGGCTGCACCTGGAGTCCTGTGTGCAGTTCTGGAGGCCTCACTTCGAAAAGGATGTGGGCACAATCGAGAGGGCACAGAAGAGAGCGACGAGGATGATCAGGGGCAGTGTTCCCGCTAAGCTGAGTTATTGTGAGCTAGGTCACAGTTTTTTAGCTTCTGGCTCACACATTTTTGTCTTCTCTGAGGAAGGAGGGCTCCAGAGCAAACTAATTCGTGCAGGGGCCAAATCGCTTGCTCACAACTTTAATGCCAGTGGCTCACAAAGTAGAATTTTCGCTCACAAGACTCCACAACTTAGAGGGAGCATTGATCAGGGAGTCTGGAGGCTGAGCCCTATGAGGAAAGGCTGAGGGCCCTGGGAATGTTTATTTTGGAGGAGAGGAGACTGAGGGGGGACAGGATTGCTCTCTTTCAATATCTGAAAGGCTGTCGGTTGGAGGAGGGCAAGGAGCTCTTCCAGATGGCAGCAGAGGAGGGGACCCGAAGCAACGGGTTTAAATCACATCCAGAAAGGTATCGGCTGGATATCAGGAAACACTTTTTCACGGTCAGAGTGGCTCAGAGGTGGAATCAGCTGCCCAGGGAGGTGGTGAGCTCCCCTTCACCGGCAGCTTCACTGGCTAGATGAGTATTTGTCAGAGATGCTTTAGGCTGGTCCTGCACTGGGCAGCGGGTTGGACTAGATGGCCTCTATGGCCCCTTCCAACTCTATGATTCTATGATCCTCATGCTGGGGTGGCTGTCGCTGCCAAAACAACGTTTTGAAACAGCCGCACACAGCCAATCAGAAGCCTTGCTGGGCGAAAGCCCCGCCCACTTTCTAAAAATGTGGGGCGGGTGCCAGAAAAGGTTTCAGCTGGCACACCCTGTCGGGGACCCCCACACTACGGCAAAGGTGCCCGGCAGATGGTGCCCCCCCCCTGTCCGCCTTCTGCATCTCGCCGCCCGCCCCTTAACGCCGCCTCTCTTCCCCTTTCCTTGGTTGCTTTGCAGACCCCCATCGGTGGCCAGAAGCGCGCCTTCTCTCACCTGCTCCCTTCCCCGGAGCCCAGCCCGGAAGGTGGCTACGTCGGCCAGCACTCTCAAGGCCTCGGAGGGCACTACGCAGACTCCTACCTGAAGCGGAAGAGGATATTTTAACCCACGCCTTTTGCTACTGAAGCGCTCACTTCTTCTTCCCACCCTACCCCTACCCCCGCCCAGATTCAGGTGTATAGATTTTGTACAGACGTGGGGTTTTTTTTAATGTTTTGCTTTAGGGTTTTTTTGTTTTTTTTAAGCCTGTTTGGAAAGGACTTGACTTTCTAGACTTGGGGACGGATTACAAGTACCTTCCCGGGTTCCGAAGCGAACCCCGCGGACTCCTGGGGAACAGTGCCTTTCGGGGGGCAGACGCCTTTTTTTTCCGAGGTTAGGACGGTTGCGCGGTGGTGGCCCTTTCCAGGCTGCTCTCACAGTCTCCCGCCGGCACTCATCTGTCGGCAGGACCAAAACGGACCTCGGAGCGTCGTCCCGACTCGGCCTCCTTCCCACGCGCAATGCCGCTGGCAGTCCCTGGGACTCGTGCGTAGCCCGGAGCCAGGCCCCCGGCCTTCTAAGGAGAAGCGCTCCCTGTCTTTAGACTGCTTCCAGCACAGGGATGTACCTGGATTCAGCTGCGGGCTTGAGAGGTTGCCGCGGTGGCAGGAGAGAGAGCCGCTGAGAGAAAGCGGCCCCAGAAGACCCTCGGATCGACACCGGAAGACGCTCGGATCAGTCGGCACTCCACAGCACTTAACTCCCGGCAAGGAAT